ACTCTCAGCATACAGCCACAGCACAGCATACAGCTTGTCACAGCTGTCGCCAAGACACCACCGTGTCCATTTCCAGAGCAGAAATCAAAGCTGAATGCACATTTCTGCCCTGACTCCTCCTGCTGTGCCACCTGCAAACCCTAATTCAAAGCTCTCTGTTGACTGAGTGGCCGCTGTCCCAGACTCATGGCTGGGCATGTCACCTGTGCTCTCAGTTCATCTCCATGGGACCACCTTGTGGGAACCTACCACCTTACTTTCATTTCATAGAAGAAGAAACAGAATCTCAGAGTCCACAGGGCCACACTGGGAGTGGGGCTGTGGAGCCCACAAGCCACTGTGGTCATGATGCTGTATCTCACTTGGGAGTCACCTGCTGAAGCTCAGTGAGGAGGCAGTTTCCGACTGCCCCCACCTGTGTAAAGCTCACCTGGCCATGTTCAAGGAGGTGTCATTACAAATGTACAGCAGGACCAGTTGCTTGGATTTTCTGTTATGTATAATTGGGGCCACTGTGTGGTTTTTAAATTTGGGATGATGATATGAATGGGATTAACAGCTTTGGCCCCTTCCATCATGTGCAGACACAGCAAAAGGTGCCATCTTTGAAGCCTAGTGGGCCTTCACCAGACACCAGATCTGTTGGTGTGTTGAGATGGACTTCCCAGCCTCCAGAACCGTCTTTATAAATCACTCAGTCTGGGGTGTTTTGTTATAGCAGTCTGAACAGACTAGACAGAAGAAATGATGGGAAAGGATTTGGAACTGATGTGCTGAAAAGGGGTTGAGGGATGTTCTTCTGCCAAGTGCAGGGAGTTACGAAACCGGAGCAGGCAGTCATCCGGGTGTGAGTCCAGGTCAGATTTTCACACTCGGAAGTGAGGGTGGATATGGGCTGAATCTGAGACACTGACCCGAGACAGACCGGCCCTGGGGACCGGTGGTGCTGACCAGGGGACAAGGACTCTAAAGCAAGACACGGAAGTAAAAAATGACTCTAGATTTCTCAACCGTATGGACAGCTGTGAGCAGACAGGGCCCACGACAGTGATGAGAAACAAGAGTGGGTGGAGAAGGGACGCCCCTTTGAGCGTGGTCTCTTTTTGCTGGAATCAAAAGCCATTCTGGGCATGCTGCTCAGTTCTTCTTACTAAAATTTGATTACTAGGGAGATACACAGAGCGGATCTGGGCCAGAGATCAAGACAAAGATGTTGTCTTTTCAGGATCACCCCATTTCCCCAGCGTTTCTGGGCAACCCCAGCTCTGATTTTGAGGGACTTCCGATAGGAGTGCTCAATCAACAAGGACTGTGGCAACTTCCTCTGAAGGTGTGAGGCTTGCCAGCTGAGCCCAGCTGCATGTATTAAAAGGTAATAATTGAGTTACTACAACAATACAGTATTGTAAGATTTTATCAGGGTGGGTAAAGTTAAAATTTCACCAGCTCTATCTTTTGCCAGGGTTAAAATTTGCATCTTTCCAGTTTTCATGTTGCAGCAATTATTACTGTAGTCAGATAGCCAGGTGCCTGCTAGAGAAAAATTATGCCAGAGAACAGGAAATGATTCAGGCCTTATTTTCTTTAGTATTTTATCAAGCATGTAACTCCTTGGAGAGTGCAGAAAACATTTGTTTAGAATACTCCTGATTTGGTGGTACTTTCAAAATCTGATTTAGTCAGACCATTAAAAAATTGTATAAATCAATAGCAATTACCTACTTCTAAATTGAATCATTACCCCAGAGGAAATGTGCTATTAGAACATTATAGACTCCAGGTCATCTGAAATATACCTCCACTCTCATTAAAAAAATAATAAAAGGAAAGCATAAAGAGACAAATAGAAAACAAAAATAAAAGGAAAACTTCATTCTATTTCATTATTTTAATTTAATCCCCAGGTAGAAAGAATGATTTTCCGTCATACTTCAATATTGAAAATCTAGCCAATGTTTAATGTCTGCAAGATTGTGTTTAATTTAAAGAGAGTATAACATAACAGCTAGATTAATGTGTTTATTACTACCGAAAGATTGCAAAGAGTCTTATTTGCGATTCAGAGCAAAAACTTTTATAGCCTTCTGGACAATGGGTTGGATTCTGCATTTTTATTAAAGCAAGAAGACCTTTGATGCTTTGATGTGTTAAAACCAAGTAGCCAGATCAGAACGTTTTGTACATCCATCTCTCCCCACGTGTTAATTTGGCACCTTCAAGCATACATTTTTGAAAATGCAAATTATTTCACATAAAATACATAAATTTATATAGCATATGATATACAATTTTAATATATTCAAACTCCAAAAGCTATACTTCACTATAGAATTTTAATTTATTTAATTTATAAGTGTGCCCTGAGTTAATATTCTAATCATTTGCAAACTCAATTAAACTTTGTCTTGATAAACTTTTACTTTTTTAATAAATTATGTTATATTAGTATTGAATCATTGATTCTTCAAATATTGATTACTCATTTGATATGTTTGCAAAATGTAAATATCTGCCCTCTCCATTTCACGTTTATACACTTTCCCAACACGCTGGAACATTTCTAGTCCAATAAGAATATCGAAGGCCAGAATTTTCTCCAGTTTGCACAAGAACATTTTTATAATGTCATTTTTCTGAAGTGTTCAACTTTCAGTTATTTTGAACATGCTCTTTGCAAGCCATTTGTCTTTGATAGGACACGGCTATTGACCAAGTTTGAATCTGCTTTTGCTCAATTATGCCAATGTTTATATATTATGAAAAGCTGATTTTATGTTACAGTGTCTTTCTAATAATACTTAAGGTATATTTTCAGATCGCCAATGAAGACAATTATATGAAATGGTTTGTTATTTGAGATAAATACACAGAAAATGATCTATCTATGTCACAGAAATTTTAAAAAACTGCTTTGAAGGGAATGGCACTATTGCTGGATTAATTTATGACACAAATTCCCCCTCTGTTGTGTGTTGGCTCATGCACATGAGGAGACAGTCAGGAGATCTTATACTGTGAACGTGTAGAAGGGACATGACTCTATGGAAGAGGGTCACTGGCTCTTGGCTTTGCATTAGGTATAGTGAAATTCCCACCCTGAGGTTTCCTTTTTCTTAATACTTATCTCCGTTACTTTAAAAAGATAAAAACTTGCAAGTTGTGCTTGTGCACCATTGAGAACTGCTACTGTACTTTGGCCCTAAATTGGGTCCTTGTGACTATTTCTCAGTTAGAACCCAAGGGAAGAAAATAGGTGCATAGAAAGAAAGGAACAACTCTGCTGCGAAACTTTCAATGTAGACTGGTGTGTACAATTGATTATTACATCAAACAATCATTGCTAAGGTGAGTTTTTATCATTTCTGTTCTTCTTGGAATTTAGGAGGTTTATATTAGGTACCACTTGTTGGAGCCATCCTTACACCCCCAAAGCCCATGTTTCTTATGCTAAATGATGCTATTTGTGGGGTGGGGGAGAGATCAGGATGGCCAGGGCAGAGGGAGCCTGTAGGGGAGGATGGAGAAGGAGGGCTGAGGGCTGAGGGTGAGTTTGTGCTGGGGCCTGGCAGCCGGGCAGAGAGATTTCAACTGATACAGCGGGAAGAGGGAACATGAAGATTTGGGGAAGATGGTAGCAGAATTGGGTTTAAGGCATTTTGTCTGCTATCAGTGTGCAGGATGGGTTAGAGAGGAGAAAAGGCAGAGTCAGGGAGATAAATATGAAGGGAAAGAAATTCTCTTATTGGGAATTATATTCTGCCTGTCTATTAATATCTCAAAGCCAAGGGCCAGTAACCACATCTCATAAAATCATGTCCCCTCTGTACTCCCATAGCATAAAATGTCCTCATTGTCTATTCATTCTGCATGAGCCAACAGAAAAAAGAGATATTGATATCATTGCTGGGAGCAAAGACACCACAAGCTTTGGAAAGACAGACACCAGGCCTATCATCGTCACTTCTATAGTTCTTGGAGCATAGTAAGTCTTAAAAAGTATCTATCAAGTGAATGAATGAAAATAAGAGCAAATGAAAATGCTTAAGGATATAGATTTTTCTGGATCACAAGGCAAATGACGATGGATAACTTCAGATGCCTAGCCTTGTACCTTTTCCTCTGAAAGCTGGATAGCTGGAATAACAGATTATTCCATTTCCTTTCAGACACACTACATTGAATGAATACTTGCTAAGAACCAGAGAGTGGATGAAGGGTTTTGTTCATGAAAGCACTCTTTCATACCCAAGTGGACGAGAAGGAGTTATGGACTAAAAGTAATCTGTGCATGCCTTCAGTAGGCAAATATGAAGCCCAGACAAGTATGTCCTCATGCAATGAGACATACGCTAGTATGGGGACCCACAGGAAAAATCTTGTCATAACTCTGAAAATGATTTATTTTCAAAGACAGGAGAAAATTTGCAAAAATATCTCAATAAGATACATGATAACAAGTTTATGCATCCAGAAATGTCAGTAGATCAAAAACTAAAGAAACAGGTTGGCAATTCTAAGGTACCATCCCCATCCTGAGGTGCTGTAGCCAGAGTGAAAGGTCAGGGGAAAATATGGAGCATCGCCAACATGCTGGGGCCATGGGCAGGGGGTCTTGAAGGATTGGCTCAAACAAAGGCAAACTGGAAGACAGGCTGCATGTCGAGAAGACAGGTCTAACTATGGCAAAGTGGAGACCACCCCAAGGAGCCCTGGAGTGAGTTAAGGGCCATGAACCACAGGGTCCCGAGTTCAGGGGCTTCAGAATATGAACCGAACTTTTTCTTGGTATTAAAGGAGTGGCCCTCTGCATGGCTGTCATCCAATTGCTCTAGACCTCACTACTCACTACTGAAAATATTTTTAAGGATCTCGTTACATCCACATCTCTCTTTTACACGGCACATTTGCTAGTGGAGGCAATGCGACAGAACAAAGAACCAAGCAGTTGAATTCTGCTTCATCCAAGTTTGCCAAGCAACAAGAGTGGTGAAAGTACTCACGTTCCACAAAGTAAGAGCTGGCATCGATCTTCCAGATGATCTGGCCCCGGTGAGAACCATTGACTCCACGGTTCTTATAGTCCAGAAAGTTTTCAGACAAGACCTCATCTATATCCCCGGAAGAAGAAAGCAGAGTAGAGAAATAGATCAGTCAACAGCATACTTAGCACAAAAAAAGAAAAGGACCGAAGGATATGAATGCTGCTTCCAGCTCAACAGAAGAAAAAGCACTTGGAATCAGAGAATCTGAGAGCTGGAAGCAGCTGGGCGTGGTGGCTTCATGCCTGTAATTCTAGCACTTTAGGAGGCCAAGTCAGGAGGATTGTTTGAGGCCAGGAGTTTGAGACCAGCCCGAGCAACATAACAAGACCCCCATCTCTACAAAACAAAGAAAAATTAGCTGGGCGTGGTGGCACGCAGCCTGCAATCCCAGCCCCTTGGGAGGCTGAGGCAAGAGGATCGCTTGAGCCCAGGAGTTTGAGGTTGCAGTGAACTATTATGATGCCACTGCACTCTAGTCTGGGTGGCACAAGACCCTGTCTCAAAACAAACAAACAAACAAACAAACCGAAAAGAGAGCTGGAAGCATCCTAACACAGCAGTGGGGCCAAACTCTTTTTAATGGCGTCTCCTCCCCACTCACAACACTCCTGGCAAGAGATCATCCAGGTGGTTCTTGAACACCTCCAGAAACAGAGAAATAATTGCTGCTACAGCAGTTCATTTCACTTTTTTTTTTTTTTTTGAGACAGAGTCTCACTGTGTTGCCTGGGCTAGAGTGCTATGGCGTCATCCTAGTTCACAGCAACCTCAAACTCCTGGGCTCAAGCAATCCTTCTGCCTCAGCCTCCCGAGTAGCTCGGACTACAGGCAGGGCCACCATGCCCGGCTAATTTTTTCTATATATTTTTAGTTGTCCGATTAATTTCTTTCTATTTTTAGTAGAGACGGGGTCTCGCTCTTGCTCAGGCTGGTTTTGAACTCCTGAGCTCAAACAATCTGCCCACCTCGGCCTCCCAGAGTACTAGGATTACAGGCGTGAGCCACCGCGCCTGGCCCATTTCACTTTTGAATAGCTCTTATACCTGTGAAATCTCAGTGTAAAAATCTTCCTCCTAAAGCTTTTATGAGCTGATCCCTATTTGAGACTGAGGCTGAGACAAAGAAAATGTCCAGTCATGCTTTCCATTTGGTGTCCAGTTCTCACAGGTGCCACCCCGCACCATCTCTTCTCCTGGGCATCATAATCACCCCGTATGTGGGACTCACCCATAGACTTATCCCTCCCTCCCTCCATGCACTCATGCATTCATGTGTCCATTCCACAGTTGAAACCCAACCATCTGCCACACACTGGGGACGGTGCAGGGGCCATGGTGTTGAGTAAAACCAACATGGTTGCTGCTCACAAGCAATTAGAAGACAGACTTTAAACACTAAGCAAAGAAATAAATGTGTGATTGTAACTTGTGATAAGAGATCTGGAGGAAAAGAACAGAGTGCTGTGACAGACCATGACAATGAAGGAGTCCGGCAGGGCAGTCAGGGAGCTCCGAGGGAGGGGTAGAGACACATGGTGGAGAACAAGGGTGGGTGTGTGGAAGGCCGGGTGAGCGCCCGACATGGGGGGCCTAGGCCCAGGAAGGGGGCGCATGTGCTTGGGGGCTGTGGGAGGAGCTCCAGAGTGATCTGCTGTTTCTCTGCTCATCACGTCGCAACCCACTGATGTCCTCTAAAGCCAGTGCCCAGCGAGGAACGCAGCATTCTCGGGAGGACAGATCCAAGAAGACCAAGCTGCCTGCCACCTCCTCGCTCCAGACCCCACAATTTCAGTGCAGATGAAGATAGGGATATGAATTTTACCCTGATCTTCTATGAGGCCCTTGCAGTTTCCACTTCACCAGGAAGTCATCTGAGCTAGGTGGGCCTGAAGCTGTGGGGAAAACCACATTTTGAGAGTCCAAATCCACTGCAGGGGCTGGAGGGACAACCTGGACCAGGGCTCCTAAGGGCAGCCCAGAGCCCTGGCTCCGCAAATGGGGAAACAGGTCATGGTTGCCCTTTTTGCTCCTAAGATGCCCTGCGGTTCACATGGCGCATCTATCGGGACTGAGAAAACAGGTGGGGATGAAGTGCAAAAATGACTGAGCTTAAAGCCAAGGGACCCAGATCTTGAGGCCTTTCATGCCATTTACCGATGGTGCTACCTGTATAGCCTCAGGCTCCCCATCTGCAAAGTGGGGCCCATAATAACCTCCACCTTGCTGGGAGGATTAAACAAGATCACTGGTAAATGCACCGTAACTGGCTACGTGGATTGCACATTTTCGGCTGCCCCTTCTTGGCAGAGCTGACTGCTTCATTAACGGCTAGAACTGTTTGTATCCTTTGGAAAATCACTTGTTTGCAAAATTTGCCTGTCTTTATATTCACAGTGTGTGTTCACAGCCCTGTTTGGGTTACTAAGATGATTGCACAATACGTCTTTTAAAGTAATTGCTTCATTTCTGCAAAAAGGCATAATATTTTCCTAGCTCCCTGGGTCTTTAGTACAGATATAACGAGTCTCACACCCAGGTAGAAATTTGCCTCATTATAACAGTTCTCCAAGGGATGGTATTTACCTGAATTTACCCACTCTGATCTCTGGAATATTCACTTTACTAGTCATGGTCAGGTATTCACATGCAATAACGCCTGGAAGGACTGTGTTCATTCACGCATTAGATGATGTGTATCGAGTACTCTGCTCCATTCCAGGCATCGTGCTAAACCCTGGGGTACACTGGTGAACAAGACACGGTCTGTGTTCTCAGGGAGTTTCTGATATATTTGGGGATTTGTTCAAGAAAACAGATAGTCTCACTAGGATATAGAAAGTGTAAAAATGGGTTAAGTAAAAAGGAACCACAGGAGCACAAATGAGAAAAGGATGGGGATGGGGTAGGAAGAATCTGAAAAGGCTGATGATGATGGCAAAATAATACACACTTTAAAGAGAAAAAGATATATTTTGCTGCACACTTTAAACACAACACACTTTAAGGGACTGGCTATTGGTCCTGATAAGTATCCCTTTCCTTCACACTAATAATAACACTAAACAGCAAATAGCACACAAGAAAATAGAATAGTCTGTATTCTCGCCTGGACCATCTGTGCTGAGAGGTCAACCCCTTCCCCAAAGGCCCTTATCACCAATTGTTAGAAGGGTCCCTGGTTTTTGCTTAGGAATCCAAGAGTATTAGCAGGTCAGCTGTAGAAAAACAGAATCGGTGTGCATATTTTACACAGAAAGGGATTAAATGCAGAGAAGTCAGTACTGGAGAAATATTTCCCAATAGACTCTAGGCTAGGCCCCCAGAATAACATTGCCTACCTGGTCCCCAACAAGGCTGCTGCCTTTGCTTCACTCAGAAAGGTCTCCCTGGGACCTGCTGAGAACAAGAACTTGGTACAGTAGCTGCAAGCCAGAGAGCAGAAGGCGGCTGTCCAGCTGTAGCTGCTGCCTCTCCACCCACAAAGAGAGTGACCAGCCAGCGGCAAGCAGATAGGTTACTGCCACCATCATCCCTCTGCCTGCTGACACCCAGGAAGCTAGAGAGTGGACACTAGGCCATCGTTGTAGAAAAGCTTGATTTTTCAAGGTCATGCTTATAGCAGCCATGGGCCAAAGAGCAGGAAGATCCCCACACTTCCCCCTTCCCAATCCTGCATGGGAGCAGCTAAATGAAGGGACCAAATGTGCGTCCAGAGCACAGTTGCACAGGGGTCTGGAAATGTCATTTTCAGCAGTCCAGACTCCACACTAGAAGAAGGCACTGGAGAAGACACGAGGACAGGCCCGGATGCGGGGGCCAAGCCACGCTCTCCACCACAGTGCAGAGGGGCTGCTCCCGGCTCTCCGCCTGGAGGCTCTTCCTTCTGCTTTCACTGTCACCGCAGAAGCCTTTTTGTGGGAGCAATGTATTCACAGCCCCCTGGAGGCAGAAACATTACTCTATCATTACTCTACCATTACTCTACCATTATTATATGATCTTCAGCAGTTTATTTAATCCTTCATTACAAATTGGGGATAGTATTAGTATCTGTCTCAACGTTTTGTTGTCAGGATTACATGTGCTAATACAGGTAGTGGTCTTAGAACAGTGTCAGACATTTATTAATAGAAAGTGGCTATTTCTGTTTAGAATCTGGGCTCAGAATAGGGCTCCCTATTGCAAAGCCCTATGGTATTTAACGTGTAAAACCATTAATAATAACCTGAAACATTAGCTTACGTCAGTACTATTTAAAATTTTGTCATTACACATTTTGTATAGAACACATAGAGATGTATTAACTTCCTCAAAAAAAGACTCTATTTGCTGGATGCTTCTGGTGTTTAGACTTCTACCTCCTGCTCCATAGTTTATAATCGAGAAAGGATTTTCGATGTAGAATTCTGTTATTAAAATTTTAATCAGAAAGTCCTAATGAAGCTTACAGAAACAAATGTGCCTAAGAAACAAGAAATTTATTTTCTCTTGATTTGTTTTCAAAATGAAACCTGTAGCTATAGTTTCCACACCATCATCTAAAATAGGAGCGTGGACAACAAAAATTCTATTGCTGTTAAGAGCCGAATGGGCAAGGGAACCCATAATTGATTAAAAAGGAGAATCAATCCCCTACCCAGGTTTCCTAAGCCCATCAGAAAAGATAGAACGTGGCTTTCATTTCTCAGAGTAACTCATTACTTCTGACAACCAAATCTTGGAAAAATCTCCAAGGATTCTCCCGCTATGGCTGGACTATAACTTTACTAAATAGTGGGACAGGAGATCTGGGCAAAATCTACTTGCCTTCCACATCACTAAGTCAATGATGTAGAAGCTCCATTCTCTGGTACTAGGAAAGCGCTCCATGGATAACGTCACAGAGGATCTCCTTAAAGTCACTGCCACTTTCTCCTCCTCTGTGGCTTTTCCTTCGCATTGTTTCTTTGGACACAAAAATTCTGTTTGTATCTTAACTAAGGAATATAACTTCAGCTCTTCTAGATTCTAATAGGGTGCATGATATAAAGGAAAAACTTTCATTCTTCAAGAGTTGGTGGGTGTAGT